AAAAAAAAAAAAAAAAAAAAAAAAAAATGGGGGAAAAAAATTAAAGAAATTTGTGTTCAAATTTCAGCTCTGCCTCTTAACTTACAGAGGATTTCATTACCAACCTCACTGTAGATAAGAGGATGAATGGGAGACCTTCAACAAACTAATTCTTGTTCTATCACTGAACTAACGCAACATTTGTCAGTCTCTCGTCTAGTGCTTCCCACAGGGCACCGTGTACTTGTACATATTTTTGCATTCTGCCTCTTAACTAGATAACATAGCAACCATGTAAAATGATGACTCTGCTCAAGAGTCAGAAATGAATTCAAATCCTGCCTTTGCTACATACTATATGTGTATCCTGAGGCAAGATACAGCCTCTGGGCTTGTTTCTCTATCTGTAATAAGCTGTGGATAATCTTAGTGTAGGATTAAATCAGAAGATGCATATAATAGTCTTTAGCTGGGGTCTGTCACAAAACTGAGCAAAGAGCAACTATGTTGTAATTATTACATCTTCCTGACATGCATAGGGTCGGAGAAAAATCTAACCTGGGGGACACTAGATGGCAGAAAGAGTAGGAGCTTTGGAGTCAGTCAGATACAATTATTTGCTATGTAGCCCAAAGAATAAGCCATTCAAACTTCAGTTTCTCCAACTGTAAAAGGGGAAATAATAGTGTGAATCTCAAAGTTGTTTGCACTAACATAACTGATGTGCCTTACCTTTAAGACAGTAGCTGACTGCCTAAGTGCGCCTGACCTCAAAGAATTGGTATAAATTGGACATGTGGAAGAAATGAGGACAGGCTGGGAGAAAAACCAAGAAACATACCTTTAATTTTGACTACATTGCAGGAGCATCCAACCCCAAGAGGGAAGCAGGGAAATAAAGTTATTTAAATAAAATAACAAACCCAAGAATTCTAGATTTCTTTGTTAGAATTGAAGTCTCACTCTGTTGCCTAGGCTGGAGTGCCGTGGCACACTCAAGGCCACCCCAGTGTCGACCTGCTGGGCAATGGCGATTCTTCCGCCTCAGCCTTCCAAGTAGCTAGAACTACAGGTGTGTGCTACCATGCCCAGCTAAGTTTTTATTTATTGTAGAGACAAGGTCACGCCAAGTTGCCTGGGCTTGTCCTGAACCTGTGGGCTCAGGCAATCTACTCACCTCGGCCTCCCAAAGTGCTGGGATTACAGGCTGAGCCACCGAGCCCGGTCTTAGATATTTTAAAACATTACATTGATGCAATAGTAGGTAGTTAAAAGTGAGGGGTTTGGGGAAACATTATTTTAGTAATGCCAACATAAAACACATAAAATACCTAGTTATGTAGCTATCACAGGAAGTTTTAGCAGGAAGAAAACATTACTGAGCAGGCACTAGGCACCAAACAGCAATGGCTACAAACACCAGAAACAAGCAAATATCATGTGCCTCTTAATGGAGAGCACAGCACCACCTGTGAAGTAGTTGGCCAAAAAAACAGAACCTGAATTAAGTGTGTGGCTGAACTACCAATTTACAGGAAATAGGACATAGGCAGATGCTAAATACACCACAGGGAAACAACTGAAAATTCCCTGAATGAGGTCTAATACACCCAGGGCAAATAACCCAGTTTCTTCCACAAAACTGCAAGAGAAAAAAGGGGAACTTACAAATTAAAAGAAACAAACATCATATTTGTAAGACAAATGAAAATTTGAACACTATTAAAAAGTGTTAATTTTAGGGGGATATTGTGTTTGTTTTTTAAAAAATTATATTTTAGGGATACATGCTGAAATATTCAAATGAAATGTTACAGCCTGGGAGCTGCTTTGCAGTAATTTGTGAAGGGAGAGTGGACGGGAAAGCAATGGCCACTAGTTGATGGTTGTTGGGGCTTGATAACGTGCATGGAGCTCATTATACCATCCTGTTTTAGTTTGTGTATTCAAAGCTTTTCATAATAAAAAGTTAGGGTCCATGGAATGTGTCTGGAGGCTACATGCTGCTGTAGGCTGCCACTCTAGAACCTCTGATTTATGAGCTCTTAAAAAAACTCCAGGCCAGGCTCGGTGGCTCAGCCTATAATCCCATGCCTTGGGAGACCGAGGTGAGTGGATTGCCTGAGCCTGTGGGTTCGAGACCCGCCTGGGAAACTTGGCAAGACCTCATCTCTACAATAAACAAAAAACTAGCCGGGCACGGTAGCACACGCCTGTAGTTCCGGTTACTTGGAAGGCTGAGATGGAAGGATTGCCGGAGCCCTGCAGGTCGAGGCTGCGGTGGCCGCGAGTGGCCACGGCACTCCAGTCTGGG